TTCTTGCTAATATTTTTCTGTAAAAATAATATAGAAATATCTTTAGCACCTCTAGGCCATTGTTTCTTTATTTTTCGCGTTTGAATAGCGCGTGTAGCGACATCAGTAACTAGAACTAGTAATAACGCGCGCATCGACTTTGTATCATCGAGGGAGACACTTCCAACTGCTCTCTCATTATTCGTTAATTCAACCGTTTGGTTCTGCCGTACATATAAGTTTTTCTTTTGTAAAAGTACTCAAGTTTTACATTAAATATTATTCAAGTTTTACAAAGATTAGTGTTATCCTATCCAACCAGACTTTCAATCGTAGAACACTACTCGCAACAGAAGGAAGATTGACGTCAAACAAAGAAAATGTAAGATCAGCGGCCAATGCTTGGAAATAATTGCGTGTCGTTTATGTTTGAGGAAATTCGATACGAACTCAATGGTACTGAGATTGATCGTAACAGAAACGTTGGAATCACTAGTCTTTTGAAGGGCTATGCATCGTTTTCAGGTGACTTCGCACATTATATGGAGAATGCCGGATTTCCACATCCGGTGTTTGAAGAGACTGTAAGAAGACTAGTGGCACATGATGAATATTTTAATTTTTACGTACCGTTGTTCATGTTGTTTGGCTTTTGCGAAGATTACAAACGTGTGGTAATCAACGCGTTGATTACCACACGAATTGATTTTGATACGAGCGCGCAACGACAACAATTGCATTGTGGGAGATATAGCGAAAAATCCGAAACTTGAATTGTTCAAGATACAGTGGCGAATGCCTCACGTTACGTTGAACGAAGTCAATAAACTGTCTATGCTGCGTACCTTGGAGAACGGACGACATCTGAGTATGAGTTTCCGTTCATGGGATCTGTACGAGTATCCTCTATTGCCGAGCACGACGAAGCACTCGTGGGCTATCAAGACTGCGACTCAGTTCGAAAAGCCGCGATACGTCATTTTTGCTCTGCAGACTAATAGAAAAAACAACATGGCAGCACGTAAAACTTACCTCTATGATTGTAAATTAACCAACGTGAAACTCTATCTGAATTCTGAATTTTTTCCGTACGATGATCTGAATCTAGATTGGAACAAACACAGAACCGCCATTTTGTACGATATGTTCATACGTTTCCGTACATCTTACTATCAAATCCCCTGCGAAAGGAGTGAAACGTTATTCAGGACAGATACTTTTAGGGATCTTTTTCCTCAAGTAATCATTGACTGTTCGTGACAAAACGAGTCCGTCAAGAGTGACACCGTGGATGTGCGTTTAAAATTTGAATTCAAAGAAAATGTACCTGCGAATACTACCCAGCTAGCAAGCTCACGTGGTAATGACGTGATTATGAAGTGATTTTGATGACAATGCCGTCAAGTGACATAAATGGAACGTTATTTTGACGTCATTTGTAATACCAAAAGTTGACGTCATCGATATGACGTCAACTAGATGTTACATTGACGTCATATATATGACCATTACTAATTAATTATTTTTTGTTATTATTTGTGTATTATTATTTGATGTATCATTTTATACTTTAATATTCGATGAAAAACAAGGATAAAATGATATGTCATGCACATTACACTTACGGAAATGATACATATACTAATACATACACTAATACATACACTATCATATAAACACATAAACCATCTGATTTCAATATTTCCATTGAACAGATATATCACAATTATACAGACATTGACATACAGATTCGTGGGTCATCGAAGTACAGCAGT